TATGCAGCTCATTAATTATTGCAACTGTCCTACTAACCTGTTTTGAAATTTTCTCATTGCTACTTCTTTCTCAATGAAATTAATATTATAAAAAGCTTGGTTCTTACTGATAATCATATTTATTTTATTAAAATGCCCGGCATTTAGTTAATTCCTGAAGTTCTGAAAAAGTTGATATTTGCACCTTTTCCAGTGTACTCATTTCTTTTATGGAGGACAAAGTCTTTCTTCTGTTCCACTTATATCTGAGTGTTTTCTTAACCATGTAGCAGTTTACCCAGAGGGCCACCCAGGCAGTGCGTTTGCTTAGGTACTGACTACTCTGAGTGTCACTTAGGCAAGTGTCCTGTCAACCAGTTGATTCTTGTATTGAATAAATTTGATAAAGTTGTCATTTTATATTTCTTGTTACATTATCTTATAAAAATATGGAGTTTTGGATCATTCTCTATTTAAATAAGATTGGACTGGTAAGTGGTTGAAACATCAATGGCAACTCTTTTGTTATATAAACAAAAAAAAACAATGATAAGCAAATATGAATAATAAAATCCTTACCCATAATATGACTCATTTCATATCTCATCATCTCTTAGTATCTGAAGCAATCCCATTTTTTGCCTGCTGGTATGCTTGCTTTTCATTGTGTTTCAAATCATAGCCCAGATTTACCCTATATTCTTTTAAAATTTGTATTCTACCACTGTTTCTTATGTCTCTTTATAATGAACCCTTTAATAATTAATGATCTATCAGGTTTATATGCCATAATAATTTAAATATATTTTAGCAAGTTAGGACTTTTCAATTTTACAAACCTGATAAATGCATCTTGTACAAGCATGTAGTTTGCTGCATTAATTTTTTTAATTTTATTTTGAAGAGTAAAAACAGAAACAAAAGCAAATAGAAGAAAGACAGAAACAGGGTAACGTACAACAATACATATATTATAGATTTTTTTTAAAACAGGAATAGTTAATTAACACTGGTTACTATAATATATTTTTATCATCAAATCTGTTGCTCAGATTAACAGATATAGTTATACAAGATTGTTAATTGAATATTGGTTCTTGCTTTCAAGAAATCTTATTTTTTTTCCTTGTCTTTTTTTGTTTTAATTTATTTTAAAGAGAGTATAGTAGTTGATAATTAGAAAGGTACACATTTAGAAGACCAACATGAGAGATATTCAACCATGGGGTTTTTCTTATACATTGCTGTCCTCGATGTAGTTGCTCAAATCACAGATATCAGCATACAGAATTAGTCAA